TGTAAACACCGGGCGGCGCTGATGGCGTGCGGGGCGGCGCTGATGGGCGTGTGTGGCGGCGATGGCGGCAGTGGGCGGCGTCGATATGCGTGCGTGTGTGGGGCGGCGCTGATGGGCAGCGTGGCGGTGCTGATGGCGTGTGCGTGGCGCTGGAGGCGTGGCGGGCAGCCTGGAGATGCGCGGCGGCGGCGCTGGATGGCGTGTGCGGGTGCCGATGGGCGTGTGCGGCGGTGTCGATGGGCGTGCGGGCGGTGGGATGCGTGTGTGGGCGCAGGATGGCGCGCATGCGTGGGCGGCGCTGGATGGGCGTGGTGGCGGCGTCGATGGCGTGCGGGTCATCGACGGTGTGTGGGCGGCGCTGATCGGCGTGGTGGCGGCCGAAGATGCGTGGCGAAGGCCGGAGGCGTAAGGCGTCGATACGCGCAAACCGTGCGGCATGCGTGGCGGCGCAGTGCGGCGGCGACATCCGCGCGTGCGTGGCGGCGCGGGATATGCGTGTGGCGGCGTCGATGGGCGTGTAAGCGGCGGCTGATGGGCGTGGCGGCCGATGCGTGCGCGGCGGCGTCAGATGCGCGTGCGTGTGGCGGCGTCGATGGGCGTGTGGGTGGTGCTGGATGCGTGCGTGTGGCGATGGCCTGGTGCGTGCGGGCGTCGATGCGGCCGGAGATGCGTGGGGTGGCGCTGGAGGGCGTGCGGGGCGGCGCTGGATGCGTGTGTGCGTGGCGCTGGTGGGCGCGCAGGCGGGGCTGGATGGCGGTGCGGGCGGCGGGCCGATGGCGTGTGCGGTGCCGATGCGTGGGTGGCGTCGATGGGCGCGGTGGGTGGCCGATGCGGTGGGGCGGTGGGCGGCGCTGATGGGCGTGTGTGTGGGGCGGTCTGATGGGCGTGCGGCGGCGTCGATGGTGGCGTGGTCGATGGGCGTGGGCGGCGCTGATGGCGGCTCGATGGGCGTGGTGGCGGCTGATGGCGTGCGTGGGGCGGCGGGCCGATGGCGTGCGGGCGGATGATGGCGTGCGGGCGGCGTCGATGGGCGCGTGTGGGCGGTCTGGATGGCGTGGCGGTGCTGGAGGGCGTGGGGAAGCAGGCTGATGGGCGTGTGGGGTGGCGGGCCGATGGGCGTGCGTGGGTGGCGCTGATGCGGTGCAGGTTGAGCGGCGTGTGTGTGGGTGGCGGTCGAGAGCGTGCGTGTGGGTGGTGCTGGAGGCGTGTGTGGGTGGCGCTGGGATGGGTGTGTGGCAGGCTGATGGGCGCGGGCGGCGGAGCCGATGGGCGTGTGTGGGGCGGCGGCCGATGGGCGTGGCGGTGCTGGATGGGCGTGCGTGGTGGGCGGCGCTGATGGCGTGTGTGGCGTCGATGGGCGTGTGCGGCACTGATGGCGTGCGCGTGCGGTCGATGGGCGTGCGATGCGTGGGCGGCGGTCAGGCGGTGGGCGGCGGATATGTGCGGCGGCGTCGATGGGCGTGTGCGTGCGCGGGGCGGCGGCTGATGGGCGTGTGTGTGGCGACGCTGGAGGCGTGCGTGTGGGTATCGATGGGGCGTGGGTGCAGGCCGATGGGCGTGCGGGCGGCGCTGATGGCGCGTGGGTGGTGTCGAGATGCGTGCGTGGGTGGTGCTGGATGGGCGGTGATGGCGCTGAGCGTGTGGGGTGCCGAGCGGTGTGGGCGGATGGCGTGTGGGTGGCGTCGAAATGCGTGGTGGGTGGTGCTGATGGCGTGTGCGTGTGGGCGGGCTGCAGGGGCGTGTGGGTGGTGCTGGAGGCGTGCGTGCGTGTGGGTGGCGCCGAGGGTGTGTGGGGCGGTGCTGGACGCGCGTGTGTGGGTGGCGGGCCGATGGCGTGTGCGGTATGGCGCTCGATGGGCGTGCGTGGGCGGCGCCGATGCGCGTGCGTGTGGCGGCGTCGATATGCGCGTGGGCGCGCCCGATGCGCGCGGCGGCGTCGATGGCGTGGCGTCGATGGGCGTGTGCGTGCGGGTGTCAGATGTGGGCGGCGGTTGAGCGTGTGCGGGGCGGCGGGTCGATGGGCGTGGCGGAATGGCGCGTGGGCGGCGCTGGATGGCGTGTGGCGGCGTCGATGCGTGGGCGGCTGATGGGCGGCGTCGATGGGCGTGTGGTGGCGGTCGACAGGCGTGTGCGGGCGGCGTGATGGGCGTGTGCGTGGTGGCACGTGCGTGGGCATGCCGATGGCGTGCGTGTGTGTGGTGCCGATGGGCGTGTGTGGGCGGTGCTGGATGGCGGCACGGGGTGTGGCGTCGATGGGCGTGTGGGTGGGCGGCGCTGATGGGCGTGTGTGGGCGGCGGCTGATGGGCGGTGTGCGTGGCGGTTGATGCGGTGGGCGGCATTGATGGGCGTGTGCGTGCGGCGTCGATGGCGTGTGCGTGTGGGCGGCGCTGATATGCGGGCGGCGGTCGATATGCGGTGGGCGGCGGCTGATGGCGTGCGGGCGGTGGCTGATGGGGCGTGGCAGGCTGATGGGCGGTGCGGGCGAGGCCGATGGGCGTGTGCGGGCCGATGGCGTGTGTGTGGGCGGTGCTGGAGGGCGCGTGGCGGCTCGATGGCGCGGGTGGTTGATGGCGTGCGTGGCGCTGATGGCGTGTGTGCGGCAGGCTGGAGGCGTGGGTGGCGGGTTGAGATGCGTGGGTGGGGCGTGCTGGAGGGCGTGTGTGGGCGGTGCTGGATGGGCGTGCGTGGGTGCAGGTTGAGGGCGTGTGGCGGCTGGGATGGGCGTGGGTGTGTGGTGGCGCCGAGCGGCGGTGTGCGTGTGTGGGTGTCGATGCGTGGGCGGTGCTGGAGCGGCGGGTGCGCTGATGGGCGTGTGGCGGCGTCGATGGCGGCGGTCGATGGGCGTGACGGCGTCGATGGGCGTGGCGATGTCGGCGGGCGCGCGCGCGGGCGGCGCTGATGGGCGTGTGCGTGCGGCGGCGCTGAAGATGCGTGCGGGGTGGCGTCGATGGCGTGCGGGGCGGCGCGTGGTGGGGCGGCGCTGGATGGGCGTGTGGTGCGGGCGCAGGCCGATGGGCGTGCGGGCGGTGCATGCGATGCGTGGGCGGCGTCGATGGGCGTGTGTGGGCGGCGTGGATGGGCGTGTGCGGGGCGGCGTCGAGGGCGTGCGCGTGGGCGCAGGCCGATGGTGGGCGGCGTCGATGGGCGTGGCCGATGGGCGCGTGCGTGGGCGGCGCTGGAGATGCGCGTGCGGCGGCCTGGATGGCGCGTGTGGGCGCAGGGCTGATGCGCGTGTGCGGGCGGCGTGGATGGGTGTGTGGGTATTGATGGGCGCGGCAGGCCGATGGCGACATGATGGCGTGCGGGCGGCGGTCGATGGGGCGTGCGTGGGCGCTCAGTCGATGGCGTGCGGTCGGCGGCGTCGATGGGCGCGTGGGCGGCGTCAGATGGCGTGTGTGGGTGGCGTCAGATGGCGCGTGAAATGAGGCGTGTGTGGGTGGTGGCTGGAGGGCGTGCGTGTGGGTGCAAGGGCTGATGGGCGCGTGTGGCGGAAGCTGAGGGTGGGTATGGTTGGAGGCGTGTGGGTGGCTGGCTGGATGGGCGTGCGTGTGGCGGTGTCGAGATGCGTGTGGGCGGCGCTGGAGGGCGTGGGCGGTGCTGGAGGGCGTGTGGGGTGGTGGGCCGAGCGTGTGGGGCGGCGTTGATGTGGGTGGCGCTGGAGGGCGCGGTGTGGGCGGCGCGGTTACCTGATGAGTGGGCGGTGCCGATGAGTGCGGGCGGCGTCGATGTGCGTGCTGGCGGCACAGGATGCGCGCAGGCGTCGATGCGCGGCGGCGGCCTGGACGCGCGTGGGCGGCGCCGATGGGCGCGTGCGGGGCGGCGGCCGATGATGTGCGGCGGCGGCGCTGAGACGACGCGTGGGCAGCTGGATGATGCGGGCAGGCCGAGGGCGTGGGTGCGGGTGAGGTTGATGGGCAAGGCAGGGATGAGGCGGAGTGCTGGGTGGGCGGCGTGCTGGCGCAGCCGATGCGTGTGGGCGGTGCCGAGGTGGGGCGGTGGCTGGAGGGAGCGCGTGGCGGTGCTGAGGGATGCGTGGGTGCAGGCTGGATGGGCGTGTGGGTGCAGGGCTGATGGCGTGCGTGGATGCGCTGGAGCGTGTGTGGGCGGCTGAGGCGTGGCCCAGAGTGGCGTGTGGGGTGGTGCTGATGATGCGGCAGGCTGATGATGCGCAGGCGATCGATGGCGTGTGCGGCGATGATGGGCGCGGGCATTGAGAGGCGCGGGGCGGCGGCCGATGGCGTGCGTGGGGTGGCGGCTGATGATGTGCGCGGGCGGCGCTGGAGGGCGTGCGGGCGGCGGCCGAGGGCGTGCGTGGCGGGCTGGTGCGTGTGGGTGGTGCTGGAGGCGTGCGTGTGGGCGGTGCTGATGGTCAGTGTGGGAGGTGCTGGATGAGCGTGCGGGTGGCGGCTGAGGGCGTGTGGCGGCTGATGAGCGTGTGGGTGGTGCTGAGCGGCGTGGCATGGAGGCGTGGTGGGTGGCGCTGGAGTGCGTGTGTGGGCGGTGCTGGAGGCGTGTGTGGGTGGCGTCTGATGGGCGTGGCTGGCGCGTGTGGGCGGTGCTGAGGGCGTGCGGTGGGCGGCGCTGAGGACGTCTGCGAGCCGATGGGCGTGTGCGTGGGTGAAGGCTGATGGGCGCGGGCGGGCCGATGGGCGGCGGTCGATGGCGTGCGCGTGATGCGTGGGCGGAGCGTCGATGGCGCGCGGCGGCTGGCGCGGATGGCGATGGGCGCGTGGGCCGATGGGCGCGATGGCTGGATGATGCGCGGCGTCGAGGGCGCGGCGGCCGATGGGCGTGTGGCGGCCGATGGGCGTGTGGGTGGCGGGCTGGAGTGGGCGGATGATGCGCGTGCGGGCGGCGCCGGATGGCGTGTGGCAGGCCGATGGGCGTGCGTGTGGCGGGCGATGGGCGTGTGCGTGGGCGGCGTCGAGAGCGCGTGCGCGGGCGGCGCTGGAGGCGTGCGGCGCAGGCTGGAGGGGCGTGTGTGTGTGCGTCGATGGGCGTGGTGGCGGCTGGATGGCGGCGGCGTGAGATGGCGGTGCGTGTGGGCGGTGCTGATGGGCGATGGCGCCTGATATCGCTCTATCGATGGGCGTGTGTGGCGCTTCACGAAGCCAGTGCGTGGTACGGCGTCGAATACGTGTGCGTGGGCGGCGCCTGATGGGCGTGCGGGCGGCGTCGATGGCGTGCGTGGCGGCCGATGCGGCAGTGCGTGGGGCGAGCGCGGTGCGCGGGGCGAAATGAACTGCGCGCGTGCGGGCGTGATGGGCGTGCGTGTGGGCGAGGCCGATGGGCGTGTGTGGCGCTGATGCGTGGGTATTGCCGGAGGGCGTGTGCGGGTGCGGTCGATGCGCGTGTGCGGGCAGCCGAGGGCGTGGCGGCTGGAGCGCGTGTGGGCAGCCTGATGCGGCGCCAGCGTGTGCGTAGGCTGATGCGTGTGGGCGGGCATAAGTGGCGTCGATGGGCGTGCGTGGCGGCCGATGGGTGATGCGGGCGAAGGCCGATGATGGCGTGGTGGCGCCAGATGCGGGCGGCGTCGATGATGCGTGGGCGGCGCTGATGATGCGGGCGGCGTCAGAATGCGCGGGCGGCGCCGATGGGCGTGTGCGGCGGCTGGGATGACGTGCGGGCGGCGTGCGGGCAGGCCGAGGCGTGTGGGGGCGTGCTGGAGGGGCGTGTGCGTGGGTGGTGTCGAGGCGTGTGTGCGCGTGGGGTGGTGGGCTGGAGGGCGTGTGGCGTGGGCTGGAGGCTGTGTGGGTGGCTGGAGGTGTGTGGGTGGTGCTGGTGCGTGTGGCAGGCTGGAGGTGTGGGTGGTGCTGGAGGGGAGCGGTGGGTGCTGGAGTGGGTGTGTGGGCGGTGCTGGCGGCTGCAGGTGGGTGGGGCGTGTGGGAGGTGCTGGAGGCGTGGGTGGCAGCTGGAGGAGTGTGGGCGGTGCCGATGCGTGTGGAGGCGGCTGATGGCGTGGCGGTGCTAGGAGGAGTGTGTGGGTGATGATGTGATGGGCGGCGC